CCCCTCCATTCCTTCCTCCCCCTCCCCCTCCCCCTCCCCCTCATCCTCCTCTTGGATTGCCTTTTGGGTAACATACCTAACGCACATCAACTCGATAAGAAATAAAATTATCATCAGCATACAATAAATCTGACACAAATCCAACCTTCAATGCAAGAGAAAATCCAAATTGATTTTATTTAACGCCTTCTCAACATTACTCGTGAGTGAAAGACGTTAGCATTCTTATCCCTTGTTATCAACCATAATTGATGAGTTTTTTTATCTCCGTTTTAGCAACATAACCATATTCTTCCAACTTCAGGTGAGGCGCTATAGGAAAGGCACATATGAGGCACACACCTTAGGCTCAGGCTCGAGGCACACGCCTCATGCACTTCATTTAAATTTTTGCTTCATCCTTATTCTTTGTGTGTAGCCACAGGGAATCACAGTGCCTTTAATATAAAATGTAAACACATGTTTCAGCCTCAATTTTCATATCAAAAAAAAAAGCGAGGCATTGAGCAAAAGCTCTAGGATTGCAAGATATGGCTTTGGGATTCCTTTCAATGTAGTGCATTATGACCATTTTAGTCCAATGATTGAACCTATCAGGTAACTTGTAATATTGAATTTTGTTCTATGTTTTTTCAAATTCTAGAAATAATCTCCTTACGATGAAAATTTTGCTTATCTTCTACAACATGTGCCCTGCCTTGGTGAGGGATGCGCCAAAAGCTTTTTAAAACACTGTTGGCACTTATGATGCATGGATACTTCTAGAAGGAAGTTGTATCCATAACGAATACCAATACTACTCGAATACACGCGGATACATATCCAATACTTCCTAAACGTATTCAATACTTTACATTAATTTTTTTTAATTTTGAGAAGTACCGAATACATCTTAAATACTCTAGATCACGTATCAGAATGATTATGAAAGTGAGATTGCAATAATTTTTTTAGAGTAACAAGGTATAATTGTTAGGATAAGTACAAGAAAAACATCTCAACACTTTGCTTTCAACTTGCAAAAGAAAAAATAGTGAGATAAAATGGATATATATATATATATCCATTTTAGTGAAAAGATGCGATACAGTGACGGTGGATGGAAATGTTAGGGGACGGGATAGACCTAGATCGACATTGGCTAGCATAGTAAATCGAGAAATGAATCTATTTAATTTGAATAACAGAATGGCTTTTGATAGAGTCGATTGGAGAAGAAGGATTCATGTAGCCGATCCCATTTGATAGGACTGAAGGCTTGGCTTAGTTTGGTTTGGTTTGGTTATATATATTCATATCCATACTAAATAAGTAAAATACAAACAATAATAAATAATGATACACTAACATTGAATTTCAATAGTTGAATAAGTAAACTTGCATACAACACTTTAGCATATAACACATTTAAGTATGAATGGGGAAGTGTACAATGGCAATAAAAAAGTGTACTTGACGTTGAAATGAAATTTTCATAGGATCTACTATAAAAAGAAAAAGTAGTTGGTCATTAGCCATTCTTTGAGCATGCTTATAAAATAATACTAAAAATTATTATTAAAAAAAATATTTACGAACATATCCTAGCCGTACCTATATCCTATTATTTAAAATTTTGTCGTATAGCCGTATCCCTATCGTATCCTATATCCATGATTCATATGTTGGCAGTCACCCCCTACATTGCGAGTCCAAACAGGAGGCTGCACTAGTGAGGACCCAGAGTAGACATTGTTGACAGGTTCTTAACCCAACTCATTTTGGCCAAGGGCTCTTTCTGTGAATATAATTGTTGTTCTTAATTGGGCCTATAATATTTGCATGCATTTCCATTCGTATGAGTTGTGAGAATTACGCTGATGCGAGTCTTTCCCAGCATGAGAGAACCGGCACAATAGCTGATAACTCAAAACAAATTATTTTGGGCACACTTCAAGCACTTTCAATAGCTAGAAAAATGGTTTTTTGAACGAAGAACAAACATTTTAAATAATAATGAATCTGCCCAGATAAATAAAGTGTAGCATTTCTAGGTCATAAAGACCCCTTTAACTTGATTAGAAACCCATTTTTGGCAAACCAGCACCCCATATAATGTTATAAAGGGTTGTGTGAAGCCCAGAGGCCATTCCTAAGTCATCTTGCACCTCTTCCATTTAATTTTATCAAATGAAACAGATTAGAATACATTTCTCAACAAATATGGTTTTGTCAAGTTTTCTGACAAAAATAAACAAATAAAAGGTTGGCAAAGAAGCTAAATGATTAACAAGGTAAAATAATAATTTTTTGATAATAAATCATACGTAGGTTAATTAGAGATTGCGCCTAATTAATCTTTAAAAATAGGGTGTGACACCAATGGTCCAAGTAGACCTCCCTACCATCGAAAACCCACCCCATTGACTGTGATATCCTCTTAGGTTCCACTTTGTAGGGAGAACCCAAGAGCTCAAATATTCACTCTCCACCATTTCCCTATGTCGTCACGCCAGCTCAGGAGTATCATGGCAATCCCCAAGGAACCAACCTAGCATTGAGGCACAACACTGGTTCCTCACACAAAGACTGCAAGAACTCCAAATCAGTCTTGGGAACTCCAGCCCAAATAGTACCTTATACCTTGCCTATGTCAACTTGCCTCCAAATAGCTATACACATGCAATAAAAAGGATGTAACAGACTCAGCTAAGAAAAGTAAAAAAATTATATACGAGTATGTGGATACTACAAAAGGTATCAAAAAATTACAAGTCTCTTCCTATTGTAACTTTTTCTTCTTTTTCCTTTTTGTTGTTGTTGGGGTGTTTTAGCCCCCCCCCCCCCCCTTTTTGTATCTAATGTTTTTTTGTTTTTCCTTGCAGCAGGATTTTGGTTCGTGCAGAATAAAAAATTGTTAAATTAGTTTGGTAATATGAAGAATGGGCTAGCCAAAACGAAGATGAGTTACAAAGTAAGCCCGCTAACTATTTTCACAATCACTCTACTTTGGCTCAAACATATGGATAAAATTTGATATGTACTACATATAAATAAATGCGAAACCGCCCAAAAATAACAAGACCCAAAAAATCCATTGACCTTTATTTTTAAAAAAACTCGTCGATCATAACTAGTAGATATATTTAATGATGAAAAAATTCAAGAAAAATAAAAAATAAGGGCTGAATCTGGACAGCAACTTATACAATACAGCATAGCAAAAGAGATAAGGTCCTTAAATGACCCGAAAAGCTCATCTATTGTGCCTCTCTTGATCTCTAGCTCTAGTGTCTTCAACAATAACAGATGAACATACAGCATGACGAGACTGTTTTAGCATTTCTTTCTCCACAATCTACTCCGAACTGTGTTTCTTTTTCATTGATTTACTTAGAAAATCATATCCTTGTGAAAAGGGTCGTGTCAAAGTCATATTCAGCACCCGTGTCAATATTTGCCATAGTTGTCAAATTGAGATTTGAATCGTGAATCGAAATGATTTGTACCGAATCGCAAATCAAATCGTGAATCGTAAAGATTTAGTCACTTTTTTTAAATTACATAGAAAAACATATGTACACACTTAGATATTAAATATCTAATAAATATGAAATTTCTATACTTAAATCAATGAAAATATTGTTTTAAATGATAATTATATGGTCTAGGTAAGAAGTTAACAAGGTTTTCCATATTACTTCACCTTTTCCCTTTTAGATACCATTTCTTATCAACCATTCTTAATAAAAAAAAGCAAACAAAGACAAATTTTCAATTTCTAAGTAACAATAACTCAAAAACATGTTTTTAAGTTTTTACAAGGTTAAAAAACCAAAATATTCAAATATTTTCAAAAATCTTTTTTGATACCTTAAAAAAATTCATTTAGTAAATGCAAGTGTTTAGATAAATTTGAATATGTATGCCTAGAATATTGTAGAGAGAGAGCTCATTTTTTTCGGCTAAGGTTTGAGAATTTGAGAGTAAATAGGGACAGAGAAAGTCAAAATATGGCATATAGTAATCCTAAAGACCATAAAAAAGTTTTGTGAACCCTTTTCCAACAATAAAAAACCAAAAAAGAAAGCCAAACATAGATTTTAGCAAATCGAATCGATTCACGATTCACCGGTTCAGTTCACCGATTCACCTACGATTCATAGCTATTTGCGATTCAAACAACTTGTTCGTATTGATTATCCACCGAATTGAATCAAATCGTACGATTCGAATCGCGAATCGTACGATTCTAATAACAGAGATATTTGCCATAAAATGCCAAGTTCTTATAACACACAAGACAAAAAAAACTCCTCTATCGTCCTACTTACCCAATACTATAGCATACACCATACAACAAAAATGCCAGTTGCAGCCCCAAATGGGCCCCACCCATCTGCCTCCCCAATATCCTCACTTCCTCAAAACCTTCTGCACACAATCTAAGGAATTAGTTGAAAGCCTTAATTCTTTGCAATACCCCACTCAGACACATCCTCCTCCCCAGCACTTCCATCTTACACACTAATCCAATAACAAACAGTATCTTAGGCTGGGGCGGCAACAACATTGCAACCGGAGAGCAAACCATGGGTTCCAAAAACTCAAGCCCTATACCCTCACAAAAGTAAGCATCCAAAACCATAAAATAAGTCAAACATATCCCAGCATAAGACGTCCCCTACTCCTTTTCCTACCATCCAAGCTGCATTCAAAACTTCAAATAGCCCAAACTGATCAAAGCCCAACATTTCATGTGTCAATGCCAGACTTCAGATCTCTCGTCAATATGTCAAATCAGTGGCTCCTAAGTTGAAAAGCATGTGCAAAATGTTGCAAAGTAGATGTTTTGGACAGAGTAAGTCTCCTGAAATTTTCCTTGTCCTGAAAGATGTACTGGTTACAGTTTCATGTGGTTTGATATTTTCACAGCCAGAAGAAACAGCATAATTCAGGCAACATATAAGCATATGAAAAATAAAAATAAATAAAAACTCGGTGTAATTAAACAAAATAACCTCATTTTCACTGGCAATAGACATGACCAGAGATGAGTAGATGTCTATTACTGAGGAACAAAATTTGGCATAATCAACAAGAGATTCTTCAGTTTCGAGGAATATATTAGAAAATTGACGCCAGTTAGCTGGGGGATATTGCTGACAAAACGATGCTATTCCAGAAGGAAGCTGTGGAGTCAACTTATCCATCTGTCTCAAGTTCAATTCTGAAACCAAAAAACAAAAAAATTATATTCTTGAATAAGGGAATAGAAAGGAAGGAGAGAGAGAGAGAGAGAGAGCGAGACTTGTGTTTGGTTTGAGTTTTTTGAAAATTGAGTTTTTTTATTTTTGTATTTTTTTGTTTTTAGTGAATATTTTTAAAATTTTAAACATTTTTTTTACTTTTTTAGATGTATCTCACTTAGATGTATCTAAAAAGTAAAAAAATTGTGAAAAAATATTTTAAAAAATTAATAAATACATAAAAATATTTAAAAAAATGTACTGAATTCTCGTATTTTTTTGTATTTTTGGTATTTAATGAATTTTTAAAAGGTTTTTCTCACAAATTTTTTACTTTTTAGCTATATTTATGTTAGGTATGTCTAAAAAGTAAAAAAAAAAACATTTTTTTTACTTTTTTAGATGTATCTCACTTAGATGTATCTAAAAAGTAAAAAAATTGTGAAAAAATATTTTAAAAAATTAATAAATACATAAATATTTTTAAAAAAATGTACTGAATTCTCGTATTTTTTTTGTATTTTTGGTATTTAATGAATTTTTAAAAAGTTTTTTTCACAAATTTTTTACTTTGTAGCTATATTTATGTTAGGTATGTCTAAAAAGTAAAAAAAATTGCTTAAAATATTTAAAAAATTCAATAAAAACAAAAAAATACGAAAAACAGGAAAGTAAAATTTTTTAAAAAGTGTTTTTGAAAAAAAATGAAACCAAGCAAATTGGCCAAAATGCACATGGAACTAATAAAATAATATTTTTTTTGATATTGGTAAGACACTTAACAAAAGATGTGGTAACAAACTGCATGAAAACCCCAAATGATGTAGACACACATTATGAGCAGACAGACACAAACGAAATCAAACTAGTTCGTTTAACTATTACTGGTGCTGGGTAGAATTAGGATAAGTGCAATTATAAGTTTATTGGTCTCGAGAGAAATTAAGGAAAGTAGCGAACCTAGGGTTCGTTGTTTGACCAGAATTGTGAGGACAAACCCTAGAATGTGAAACTACCGGCATGTGAGGGCATAAACAATTCATCGCAACGATTGAATAAGCTTCTTGTTACCCTTATATTCATTCAGATTCACGGATATGTTCATGAAAAACATATATATATATATATATATACACAGATAGCAAAAAATAAATAAAAAATGGGACAATTTTGTTACGGGACCCTACCTCTAGACTGCCCTGAAGTGTTCCAAGAGTCGTGAGGAGGAGACAACTTAGACCGCTCTGCTCTCTCTCTCTCTCTCTCTCTCGCTCTCTCTCTTCAAGCGCCACCGAAACCCGCTCAGCTCCGGCTCTAGGCAACCCTAGTTCTTTTTTGTAACCGAACAATTTTAAAAAACACTTCAACCAGTGACACGCTCAACCGTTACCCAACAATCCCATCACAATCATACAGGCAACCGAAATTCAAAATAATATGATAGGGTTAAATAAAAATAAATCTCTAATGATTGCTACTATAATATTGTTATTGTTATAATTTGACAATAAATAATATTATTTTATTAAATTATAGCAATGATATTTTAATGGTCACTTATTATTTTAGCAATTCTCACCTAACTTTTTCTTCAAATTTGTAAACGTTGTTTGGATATAGATTTTTTTGTGATTTTATTTTTATTTATTTTTTGTCTTTTATGTCCCTTTTTTTTAACTATTTGTAAAAAAAAATTATATATTTATATTATTCTTAACTAGACAAATATAAAAAATGAAAAAAAATTAGAAAAATTAGAAAAAAAAATAAATATAATTCAATTTGAAAAATTAAATAGAAAAATTAAATTTGAAAAATTACTTTACTGTTTCAATTATGTTTTTTCAACTGAATTTGAAGCCATAAATATGTTCGTATTTGCTGATGTGACATGTTTGGCAATTGTTAATTTTACTTGCCAAATTTAAGAACAGATATGACATATGTCATCTTTGACAAGTAAAATAGCAAACCATTGGAAACCCACTTTTTATCACTATTGCTAAATTATAGCTTTGGCAAGTGTTTTGAGAGCTCCATTGGAGATGCTCTAATAAGTTTTGCCCATAAGTTTGGGAAGTCAATTTTCCCCACAAGTACCATTACAATACATCAACTACTCATTACAAATTTCAAACTCGCAAAAATAATATTCGCAACTACCCCATATTGGGAATCACATGCGACCAACTAGAAATAATTATCAAGCAATATTCCCGACTTGTCACTCTCTAGAGCGACACACACAGTAGACACCCCATTTTTTATGGTCCTTGTGACTTGGACACCATTATATGCACACCTAATGATGAGTTTATTTGCTCGCCAAGTGCTCGAAGTCCTCAGCGAGATGCTACAGCTTTGAGCCTTTCAAATCATGTACCTTTGCTGTCCCAGTTTTGGACTATTTGGGTTGTCGGCCATCACTTTTTAACTGCTGCCCACTAGTGTGTTTTGTAGATATTTTATGCCAGTTATGCTAGCTGTTTGCATAGATGCATGCATCTATCCCCACATGTAAGGCTAGATCTCCTTGAGGGAATTTCATGTTTTCTATATATAGAAGGTCCATTTCTTATGTTTTAAGATTAGAAAATTTTGAACTCAAAAATTTTCCTCTCTCTTTACCAAATCTTTACACTTTTGCCTACAAATCTTCAACCTTTGCGTATACACCCTTAATTAAAGCTCACCATCTTTGAGTTGAGGTACTTTTGAGCTTGGTTTGAGCTCTAGAGGTTGTGTTTACTTGGTTTTGTTGCTTGGAATTGCTTCTTCTCTTCAAGAGGTATAAGGCTTTACCTATTTGATTGTTTTCTCTACTATTTTTCCATTGTTTTGGGCTATCAAAACTCTGTGTTTTTTGGACTGAAGTTTAGGTTTAAGGCCATTAAAGGTTGAGGGGTTGATAGCTCTTCTTTGTAACTTGTTTTGGAGGCCTTTACCCTTGTGTTTCCCACCCTTTTACTATCTTTTTCCAAGCTTTTAAACATTGATTTTCAGAGCTTTTTCAATGGCCAAAATCATGTTTTGAAGTTCAAATTTAGAGGGGTTAGCCTCCCCTCCTTGTGTCTTGCTTACTAGCCTAGTTTGTGCCATGTTTTAGCATGTTAATCTAGCTTTTTTTTAGCTTAAGTCCATCATGTTTTAGGACTGTATCAGAACTGTTTTAGTATTGTTTTGGGTTGTTGGTTGCGTTTGAACTTTGTTTTGCACGCTTATAGTGTAATAGTCCTCATGATATTGGTGTTCTAGGCCTTAGACACCATCTTATTGGAGTTGATAGCATTTATTTATATTTTTCTCACTCATTTTCAATACTAATAATCTCTGCAACCTCCCTCCTTTCTTGGCTTTTATTTTGCTTTGAAAGTGGTTCAAACTATTTGTTTGTTTGAAGCATAAGATTGAGATGTCATGCTTAATGGTTTAATCCCTTAGGAAGTTCATTATCAGCGGTATGATGTCCCATTTCATGCCTAAAATAACTTTTGGTTTAAGCCCTCTTTCCCTTAGAGGACTTAATCTCACCCTTGGACTCAATTGAATTAAAAAATGGTTGGTAACTAAAATGGAGTAACTAAAATGTGGAATTAAAAGTGAGCAAGATGATAATTTAGTTGTGTTTAATCGGACGTTAATTGAACACATGGAAACTTGAACCATTTCATACTCATTAGTGATGAAATGATTCAAGGTTCTAAGGTCACCACTTCTCTTGATCAATCATGAAAGGGAGGAGGTTTGTGTCTTGTTTTGCATTTATTGAATTTGCACACTTGGTTTCACAAGCCATCATGCAATAAAATTGCATCTATTGATGGTTTATGAACCGAACTTGCTACTCCTTTGATTTGCTCATGAAAATGAGTGGTGAGTTGTGCAAACAAACACTGAAAATATCTTGTATATGCTCTATTTGTCCTCTGTTGCAGCAAGATGAACTTGTGCAGTAGTGGCCGGCAGGACACTTTCCATGGCCGGCAGGTGGCTGGCAGGCCACTTATCACTAGTGGCCGGCAACCTTTATCACTGACCGGCCGGCCATTGATATAAAATTGAGCAGTGTGATTCTAAGGCCAAGTAAAGTTGTTCTAGAAGTGGGCATCAGTGTTGGTGTTCTATTGTGTAACAAAGGCTTTTCAGAAGCAAAACGGTGGCTTTTCGGGTAGAAACTGAGCACATACATGATCATTCTTTGCATTCCAAGCTTGTTTTAAGTTTAAATATTTAGCTTAGTTATCCATTGTAATTAATTAGTTGTAGCTAATTAATTTTAATATGTGTTGTAATTAATTAATTAGTTTAACTAGTTATTCAATTTTGTTTTTTGATTAATGTGTTTGGTAACGTTTACATTTTCAGTTTATATTTACAAAAATTTTATAAACTGATTTTTGTTTATTTTTAGAAAAACATAAACTATAAACGCGTTTGATAATTGACAAAATATTAAAAAAATTTAAAAATATAAAAAAGAGTGAGAAATGGCAAGTGGTGGCAAGTGACAAGTGGGCGTACAGCGAAGACAGGTGGTCGGAAGTGGTCGACGTGTGTGGTGGGGGGCTACTGTAGCGATTGGGATGTATCAGTGGGGATAAGTGTGGCTGCGGGTGTGGTTGGTTGCGGTTGCGGAGGAGATGAGGGATGTAGTGGTGGATGGCTAGGGCGTTAGAATGACGCTGGTAGTGTGGGGCAGCGGCTGTTGTGAGTAGTAGAGTATCGGTATCTATGTGCTGGACAGATGACGCTGAAAGTGAGGCGGTGTTTCATATAGCACGGGTTGGTGGTAGGGTGGTTAGGTGGTGGTGGGTGAGCGGTGGCAGTGTGGTGGTATGCGAGTGTGTCTATTGGCGTGGTTTTGTGGTTTTGGTTTTGCAGGTGGTGTCAGTTGCGTAGTGTTTTTTGTTGTTTTGGTAGCAATGGGGTTGGATGGGGGCAGGTGGGTGGCTAGTGGGGTGGTGGTGGTGTGGTGGGTGTGGGTGGTGGGTGGTGGGTGGGTGCGAGGTGGCAAGGTGTGTGGTGGTGGTGAGGTGGTGGTGGGCAAGTGGTTGATGGTGGTGCAGGTGGATGGAGTGGTGGTCGGCAAGTAGGGTGGCGGAGTAGTTAGCGGCTCAGCGGTGACTGGTAAATGCGGGTGGAGAACATGGCAAGGTGGGTGGTGGGTGGTGGTGGCGGGTGGTGGTGGCAGGTGGGTGGTGGGTGGTGGTGGCAGGTGGTGGTGGGTGGTAGTGGCAGAAGACGGTGGTGGAAAATGGTAGCGGGTGGTGGCTAGTGTTAGGTAGTAAAAAAAAAAAATTGAAAACTCAAAACAGAAATACATTTTTTGTGTTTTCATTTTTTGGCCGAATTTATAAACTGAGACCACTTGTTTATAAATCAAAAATTTTACCAAACAAGTTTTTATTTGAGATTTTAAAATTTTTGTAAATATAAACAGAAAACTGAAAACGTAAGTGTTACCAAACGGCACCTTAGTTAACTAGAATAGTTAGTTAATTCATTTGTTGTAATAATTAGTTAAGTAGATTTAGCTAGTTATTCATTTTGGTTTATAGTAATTAGCTTAATTAGCTTAACTTTAATTAGCTAATTAGCTAGTTTATTCATTCGGACTCTCCTTTCGTGAGAGCGCAATGTAATAATGTGTATATCTTCCAACCCCACGTCTTTCTCCCTTTTATTTACTAGCTTATCATGGTTAGTTTAGGGACATCATGTTTCAATTAGCATTTTTCATGTTTGCATCCATTTGTATTGCATGCACCGAGGCTCGGTTTATCATTCTAATTGCATTATTAGTGCAATATTTCTTTGAATACGTGCTTAGACCGCATGCTATTTAATTTATTCATATGCCATGTTAGTAGCTGAGCCTATTAGTTACATATCACTTGTGTTACATTAGTCATATTGCATAAAGTTAGGATCATGCATTTTTCTAACTCTTTTGTTTATTTTGGCTTGAAGTACTAGGTGAGCCTTTTACTTGCTTTAGCATCTTGCATGAGTGTTGATGTTTTCATGTTTAGCATGCTTGCCATGAGGCTAAGTGTTTAATTGCTATAAATTGCTTGAATGCCTATGGATGAAGGCTTATTGCTTGAATTGGAATAATTTGAGTAATGTTCATATGCGATCACTTTTTCAAGTGGTACATATTTCGAAACAATTTTCAAAACAAACATGACTCGAAATGTTCCAATTCTTGCAAAGTTAGTCTATACTTGTGTATGTGCATCACATAGTAATGCTAACCTAAAAAACCGAAACAAGAGCATATAATGTACATAAGAATCATATCATGATTAGTAGAAACCGATCTTTGATTGGCGAGCGGGGGTGCTCAAATGCATTCATGACCTTCCCCTCTCATACCTAAGTTCCCGAGCCAAGACAATCTTGGTGATGACGGACACGTAGCCTT